ATATATATATATATATATATCCACATTGGTAAGATATTATCTACCTTGATCTAAACACTCATGATTTTATTGTTTGATCATTTCTCAAAAGACCTATTATCAATAAAGATAATTGTGTATATAAATCTATATCTATTTATTTTGTTCTAACAATATGAAATTGTGATTGTATCATGATACATTCTTCATTTAAGTAGTTTGGCTTAGGATTCTTTTTTGTATTTTTCATCCCTTTAATAGTAACATAACTTGAGAAACATGATCATTTGAATAATAGTAGTAAATGTCTTTTTCTAAATTCCTTTTTAATATTTTTTATTGATATTATTAAGGAAAATATTCTTATGTTTATTAACAAATTGTTTTGTTATAATTCTGTTTTTATTACATGATTTTGAACCAGAATGAATTAAAATATGTCCATGTGTGTGAAAAATAATATTTTAAGAAGTATATCAAAATATGAAATGATAAATAAGAATGAGAATAGGACATATCTTAAATAGAAACATATAATCTGACATGTTTATATTTTAACCTAATTTAACTTATTTAATAAAACGTCAAGTTTAAATTTTTTAAAAATTATTTATTTAAAATGGTTAAGTATAAATTTATTAAAAAAATTTGTTAGACATGATATGTCAACATATTTAACTATTTTATATACTAAAAAATATATTACATTAATAATAGTATAATTAAATAAATAACTTTATAATACAAAAATTAAATTACTAATATTTTTGATATTTTCACTACACTTTAACATTTTACATTTCATGTTTAAACGAAATCAAGAGATATAAAATAAAAAATCTAGTAGTTGCATCTTCACTTGTTTTTTTTCTTAATCTTCATAATTTTTTTTTTAAAATACTCTAAATGTGATACATAAAATATTTAGAATTTTTTTATATTTTTTATATATAAGATTATCTTTTTTCACACATCAGTGTACGTTAATGTACACATGTATGCATGAATTATCTTTCTTACGATCTTACATTAATTTTATTTTTATTTTTATTTTTAACACTAAATTTTAACAATAATAATAGAATAAGCTATTTTTTTATCATATAAATTTTAAAAAAATTGCACACGTATTTAAAAATAGATTTGTTGACATATTTAAAATTAATTTTAATGTAAAACAGATTTTTAACTAGGTTAATAGGTTAGATCATATTTTTAAAAAGGTCTAGTCAAACCTAAAAAAAAAAATTATGATAGGTAATAAATCAAATTTAGATTTTAATTTTATTAAATAAACATATTTTTTGATAAACAAAAATAAATAAATAAAAATAAGAAACAAATTGTAAGAAATAAAAGAAACTTCAACAAAACAAAGTATATTACATGGAGCTATATGTGTAACTGGTTAATTACGATATAATATAATGTTGTTAGCAAAGAATAGGATGCTCATTCCTTGTGATGTGAATAAGTTATCACTTATAACATTTTTTATTTTCAAATTGATGAGCAAGTCGTCCTATGCCAAATACAAATAGATAAAGGACAAAATATTCTCTTTCCATACTCTTTTAGTTAGTTAGAACTTTATCTGTATTCTCTTCATTAAAAATCACATATTTTAAAAAAAATTAAAATAAAATGATAAATTAGTGAATATATAAAATTGTTTTCAAAAGCCTAAAATTAATACTTCACAATGGTAATCGAAAACTCTCATCTTAGTTTGTCACATGTCCTTTCCATATAACTATTATAACCATTCATCCTTTCTTTTATCTTCATTCTCATTTAATATATGACTTCTTGATCAATAAATTTGAATTAATGGTTTTAACATAGAAAAAATGTCCGAGTTTGATTCTAAAACTTGGTATAAATGATGGGTATGGATGAGTTATTTTCCACTCGACCTAACCTTTTTTTAAGAAAAAAAAAGTGTGTTTTGTTTAACTTATTGCAATATTTTTTTTTTCAATTTTTACAGATAATTTTTTAAAATTATTAAAAATTCAAATCAAACAAAATATAAAACTAAAGCATTCAACTCCGGTGAATTTAGCAACTCACTTTTCGAGAATAAAGTCATATCATTTATCGATGAAACATTTAATGAGGAAACTATTAATGCATGTAAAATAATATATATATATATAT